AGGGCTTGGGTAGTCTAACTAGCTAGATTACCCCAGGGTCTCTAACTGAACATAGGGCTTGGGTAGTCTAACTAGCTAGATTACCCCAGGGTCTCTAACTGAACATAGGGCTTGGGTAGTCTAACTAGCTAGATTACCCCAACGATCCCCTGCCTCTACCTCCTTGGGCTGGTATTACAGGCAGGAGTTTTCACATGTGGATGCTGAGTCCAGACTACAGTTCTCACACTTGTCCAGCCAGTTCTTTACCCACCAAGCTTTCTCCCTGCCTCCCTGAATCTTCTGTTCTTACAAAGACCGCTCTGATCATTTATCAAAGAAAACCATCACCGACTGTGTAACTGCACAAACTTTCTGCATCTATTTTAAGATTCCATAGGAGGCATGAGACAGGTTTGATTTTGAACAAAGTGAAAAGATAAAACAGTACTCTGTCCTTTCTCTGTGCTGGAGGTCAAACCCAGGGTGGCACATATACTAAGCAAGTGCTCCACCACAGACATCCATGCCCAGCCCTCCTCCTTTCCTAAAAGCTACTCTCTGTAAGCATTTCTAATGCTTCTTCTGTCTCCTTTTCACTAGTTCACTAGTCAATGTTCTCCAGTTTCAAGCAAATAATTTCAAAGACTCAAGACACATTGATTATAAGCAGGCCACTTTGAATTAAAAAAATAACTGCTCTTTGTTTTTTAGGAAAGGCCTTGCAATGTTACCCAAGCTAGCCTCAAACTCAGGTTCCTGCTGCCTCAGCCTCTTGAGTAGCTGTGATTACAGTCATGCACCATCTAAGGTGAGCTGAACTGGAAAAACTTTAACACTAATATGTGTTGTCCAACTTTGTATCACTATAACAACATGCCTGAGATACTCACCTATTAGAGGAAAGATTTATTTGGGTTCACATTTTTGGGAGCTCTAGTCCATGAATGATTGGATTCACTGCCTTTTAGGTCTCTGGTGTGGATACTAGATAGCAATGGTGGGGAACCATGGCAGAGCCAATGATTTACCCTATGGCCAAGCAGCAAAAAGAAGCTGGGTGGTGGTGGCACATGCCTTTCATCCTAGCACTCAGGGAGGCAGAGGCAGGCAGATCTCTGTGAGTTCAAGGCCAGCCTGGTGTACAGAGTGAGTTCCAGGACAGGCAGAGCTACAAACAGAAACCCTGTTTCTAAAAACAAAACAAAACAAAAAGAGGGTGTGTGTCCTTTGTTGGAATCTACCCATGACCTAAGTATCTCCCACAAGGCCCCACCTCCTAATAGCATCACCAAAGTGACTTTTCTTGCTTCTGTGACCAAATACCTGATGAGAAGTGTCTTAAGAGAGGAAGGATTTATCTTGGCTCACTGGGGTCCTGACTACCATGGTGGGGAAGGCATGCTGGCATCGGTATTCAAGGATGTGACAACAGGGGCAGGAGGCTTCTTGCTCATATCTCTGTAGACCAGGAGGCAGAGATAAACGCTGGCACTCACAGGCTTTCTACTTTACCCCCCTTAATTTAGCCTGGGTCCCCAGCCCATGGGGGGGGGTGCCACCCACCGAGGGTAGGTTTTCCCTTCTCAGTAAGTCTTCTCTGGAAACATCCTCATGGACACACCCAGAGGTGTGTTTCCCAAAGACTTAGGCAGTTTTTAATTCAATCAAGTTGACAATCAAAACTTACCATTAGCCCAGCTATAAAAAAATGACAAGAGAATTTTCCTAAGGTTAATGGGCTACAGGACCTCTCTGAGCTATTAGAACACAAGCAGTGCCTTGTAAGAATTAGAATATGATTGTCTTTGTCGCTCTTCTCCCTATCAGTGACAGTTGACATTGGTCCGAACATGCAGTGTGAGAAAAATAACTTTTTGCTGTGTTAGCCACTGATATTTTAGGGATCTCATTTCTGCACACTGTCTGCCCTGTCCTGATGCATACAGCAAGGGTTTGAGTGCAGTATGCATGGATAACTGACACTCTTATTGTACTATGCCTAGGACCTCTCAGCTGAGTCTACAGTTACCTTCCAGAAGCTAGCCATTTAGTGAGAGAGTGACCAAAGTTCGGAATTACAGTCAATAGCAAAATAGATTTAATTGACTGGCAGAAAGATTCAAAAAAGGTGTCTTCTCTATGCAATAACCAGAGTGAAACAAGCCTCCTAAATCGCCATCTTCAGCTGGCTTTCCTCATCTGTCAAAGACTACTTCCATGATAGCTAGAGAGACTCCACAACACTTCTCTCCCTCATCTCTAGGCACTTCCCAGGGGACCACTCTCAAACTGAGAACACTTGGAAATATCATTTATCCAAAGTGCCCTCACTCACAGAGGGATAGTATCTGTGCCTCAAGAACCCATAGAGAAAGGGTTCAAAGTCAACGTCAATCATTTTCATGTCGTGTATACATGCCAAGGTAGCCTCTTCATAAAGGAATGAGTTGTCTTCTAAATATTTTCTTCTCATAGCTAAAACAGAAAATATTATTGATTAAAATTCACATTGGAAATAGAAATAAAGATCATTTATCAAGAACCTACTGTTTGGCACTATGAGCCAGAAGCTTATAGATGTCATTATATTTCATCCTCAGCATAAACAAATTACATAATGTACTGGAGCTCTCCAGAATAGGATGGATAAGTGTAAACATACATACATACATACATTCATACATACATACATACAAAGAGATATTAGAAATTGGCACATGTGTTTAGGAAGACAAGAAAGCCTTTGGTATGCAGTCTGTAAGCTGCAGAACTAGTAATGCAGTGAGCTAATTCAGTCTGAGTTCAGAAGTCTGAGGAACAGGGTAGCTGATGGTGTGCCTCCCAGCCCCAGACCAATGTCTAAAGGTAAGAGAGGATGGAGACTCTAGATCCAGCAGACAGCTAATACAACCTTCCTCTGTGAATATGTTCTATTTATAGCCTCAGTTATGTCCAATGTGGTAGTTAATGGTGCTTGTCGACTTGACAGGATTTAGAATTACCCAGGAGAGGAGCCTCTGGGCATGCCCAGAGAGATGGTCTAGATTAGCTTACCCTCTGGGCATGCCTACAGGGATTTTCATGGTTTTGTTCATTGAAATAAGAAGCAGGTGACACTTTCTGGTGGTGGCCCAGATATAAGGAGGTCTGAGAGAAAGCTTTAGCTTTTCAGCCTTCTAACATGGACTGAAGGCTAGGGTCTCTCCAGAAATGCCCCAGGCCTTCACTACTAAGGCATCCAGCCTCATGAACTGAGTAGCAACTGGTTTCTCCACCTCTCTAGTATGAAGATGGTACTTGTTGGACTGTCCAGGCTATATCATGCAAGCTCCCTTTCAATATATTTCTTCTGTTCCTCTAGAGAGTCCTGACTGATACACCCACCTAGGGTAGGGAAGGGTAGAGCTTCTTTAGTCTTCCTACCCATTTACAGCTAATTTCTTCTGGAAATATCCTCATAGACATACCCAGGAATAACATTTTACCAGCAACCTGGGCATCTTTTATCCTAATTGTGTTGACCCATAAATTAACCATCACAGAAGTAACTATTATTACCTTTTTACAGATTTTTTTTTAAAGATGAATAGGTTCAAATAAATAGCCAAAGTTCAGCCAGACTAGAAGGTGAAGCTGAAAGAATTATGTAAACCCAGAGTCTTTTCCCTTACTCCCTCTTCTGGCCACAAAATCATATCCCAGCCCCACACCCAAGACGTAAAGTCCTGAGAGTTCCCTTTTCTTCATTTTATTGCCAGAGACCTGATGACATCATTTCTGGTCCGACACCAATTCTACTCCAGCATGTTCCCCAGGAGAGCCAGGCCCCCAACACCTGCTACTTCTTCCTGTCTCTGCAGAGAAGATCCTGGGAAACAAACCTAAGAAAAACAGCAAAAGATGGTGATCCAAGAAGACAAGAGCCCCTGGGAGAGAGAAGACATTTTTGTCTTGGATAACTGTGAGTGATGAATTGGCTTCTGTAGAAGGGGAGAGCTGGCCTGGGCCTGTGGTGGCCATCGGCACCGTGAGACAAGGCAGGGTGCTATCAAAGGCTACGGCCAGGAAACAAAGGACGGGAAACAGGATTTTTTTTTTCCCAGTGTCCAGAACAAAGCTGACAAGAAGTTTGGCAAGGGGGCCACCATTTCATATTTCCAGTGGAAAAAGCACTTAGTGCTCAAAGCTGGAGAAATGTGGGAAGAGGTGAGTCATGAGGAAGGTCCCACATAACATTCTTTTTCTGAGAATTATTATTTGACTCTAATCCTCATGTGCTACTCAAGAGAAAGCCAGGATAGTCAAATGGTGTTTGTTATGGGACATTGATGCTGAGGAACTACACTCTCATCCATACCTCCCTCCTTCGTGTGCTGTTCTTCTCTCTTACTGAATACCTCTTCCATTCGTCTTGGGTTTTGTTTGTTTATTTTGCTTTTGGAGAGCAGGGTCTTACCATGTAGCCTCTATTGGCCTCGGCCTCAGACTCTATGTAGCTCAATCTGGCCTTGAACTTAGAACCTCGCTCCCTTGGCTTCCCAAGCACAAGGATTACAGGTGTGCACCACCACCCCCTTATATTCAGATGTTTGTTTATTTTTCTCTTTCTACTGCTCCTGTCCTAGATTCTCCTCTGTGTTTAGCTTAGAAATCACTCCCCTGAAGGCACCTTCCTCAGCTTCGTCACGTGACAGTTATCTATCCAGTATCTATCCTCTTCTCCTTATAACTAACATTATTCCAGTAAAGTTGGAAGTAGGGAAGGTTCCAGAACATACTACTTTTCCTGGCCTCTCCTATAGTTGTGGGTAGCCACAGAGCATAGTTCCAACACGAACAGAGGTTGTTAGATTATATTTCTGGAAATTTTTCCTAAGAGAGATACCAACTCAACATGTAAGAGTTCTGTCTGCATTTGTCCCTGTCTGGAGAGATGGAACTCTGGAAGCCTTCTTGAAAGTTTGCAGCCAATGGTCACATTCTAACTATGGCAGATTAGAGTGAGAAGGAACAAGTGGCCCTGAAGCCATTGATGAGCTTTGCTTCCAGACTCCTCATTCCCCACGTGGAAAAAAAACAAACTTCAAATTTCAGCAAAATCTTTCACTGATAATCCTGACCCTAGTGAACTGGTACATCTCCTTGATTTTTCTTCTCAATACCACAATGTTCTCCTCCATGCATATTACTTTACAATGATTTGATAAATGGCTTAACCCTCTCCCTAGTGTCTAAGCTCCATGGACTCTGGACCTTGATCTCTGCTCACTGCACCCAGAAAGTTAAGCCAAGTAGACTCTGTGATAATCAATGGATTTCACTGGTATTCACCCCCACGTATAGCTGGGGGAAACCTTTGGAAGGAGTAAAGTCATGCTGAAATATCCAAAGAGACAAAGTAGAAAGTAAATAGAGTTCAATCAAGCAGAAGATACACCTGCTCTTTCATTTTTGCTGCTGTTTTATTCTCTGTGCTGAGGTTTTGGGGTTTGTTTTCATTTTTGTTTGTTTGTTTATAGTAGTAAGGCAGGACCTCACTATGTCATCCTGTCTGGCCTGGAGCTCACTATGTAGACCAGGCTGATGTTGAATTCATAGAGATCCTCCTGCCTCTGTCTCCCCGGTGCTGAGAGTAAAGGCATGCATGTGTCCCCATGCCCAGACCTGGTCTGAGTTTTGGCAGGAGACCTCGGTACCCTGACTTAGTGTGGGCTTCTGAAGCATTTGAGAACAGCAGGAAAAGACTGGGGTGGCGAGAGAAGACAGGAGGCAGCTGGTCATGGATGTGCTGTCAAGCAGTGACTATAGAGAGTGCCTGGAGCCTGCATCTCACAGAGGGTCTCCAGGAAGCGGAGAGCCAACTCACAAGCAGGGGCTGGGGGAAATGGGGCTCACCTGCCAGCATCCGTCCCTTCCTTGCTGAGGCCACTCTCTCTATCTTGCTAAAAGTTTGATAGCCTTCAGGGCAGGAACAAGGGAGCTGGCATTTCTGAGAAGTCCCTCAGGCACAGAGGTGTAGGTTCTGACCATCAGAGCTGTCCAGAGGTCCCCAAACAGGGATGTCTGAAGGGCACTGATAGCCTCTCCTACAAGCCTTTGAGTCAAAGTCAGTCATCAGTGACCTATTTCACAGGTGTCAGAAGGATCTAGATGGCACATAGACACTTAGCTTTTATCTTTTATTTAGATTTATTTGAAACATACATGTATGTGTGCACATGCCACGGTGTACATATAGAGGTCCCGGAACAACACTGGATGTCAGACCTCACCTTCCACCTTGTTTGTGATACATTCATTTACAGTTTGCTGATGTGTACACGGAACTAGTTGGTCTTCAAGATTCCAAGGATTCTCCTGTCTTGATCTCTTCTATCTCTTAAGGAGGAATCACACTGGAATTACAGACACCTGCTACTGTGCCCAGTTTGATCTGGAGATAAAATTCGGGCCTCATGTTTGGGTGGCAAGCACTTTACTTACTGGAACAGCTCCCAGCCTGTTGTTTTGTTTTGTTTTTTTAAAATCTAACTAGTAACATGCTAGATTTTAAATTTCCTTTCTATTTAATGTTTAAATCACTGGCACCATGTTGTGGTAGTAATATAATTTATAGAGTGCAAAAGAAATTAATTTTACAAGATGATCAATAAAGTATACTGAAAACTATAACCACACACCAGAATTGAAAGCTAATGAGAAATGGCTGAAACCTAGTTAAACATGATGGATATTTATTTGCAGTTCTTGGGACTGAACTCAAAGCCTTGTATCTGCTAGCCAAAAGTGCAACCACTGAGCTATACCACTAGCCCCTGTCTTTAATCAATATCTACTAATACCAAGTACTCTTCCTGGCACAAGAGAATAGCAAGAGGCAGAGAAGGCACAAGTCCCACATCTGGAACTCTTACCAACAGCAGGGTAGTAGTGGCTGCAGATTTCAAGCATTTGAACTTGCATGCCCTTGCTTGCCTGCCTTGAACAGCTCTACCAGTCTCCAGAAATGCATGCAACTGCAGATGGCTGTGGGTGAGGCAAGAGGCCAAGATGTCAGGACATCTTCAGGAAGTTTTCAAAGACAGGAAAGAATTACTTGAGCTTGAGCAAAGGGAGGAAAGAGACATGAGAAGGATACGGATGGGCCTGTCAGTAGTCACCATTGGGGCTTGCTCCCTCACTCCTGTCCTATCCCACTTATGCTACAGAGCTGGACTCACCATCTGGGAGCAGGAAGGATGGAGAGGAAGTGAGCTGCTGCTGAATGCTGCCAAGCTGTCCCCAAAATACGCCGTCTTGAGTGGCTGCCTTATTGTGTAAGAAGACATAAAATCCAGATGGTGAGTTTCTGGATTTTAAGTTCCTATAGAGAAGTCACATTTTCCAGCACATCTTAATTCCATTTGCTGTGTATGTGTGATGGCCGAATGTCATTAACGAAGGCCAGGAATGAAAATAAAGACCCAAGTCATCAG